GTTGAACAGAGAAAAGTGATGGAGAAATGGGCACGAGGCTCTCCGATCTCTGGACAGAGAGGAACAGGCCTGAATACTTTGCGCTCTGAGTGCCCATGCGGCCCTGTGCTCAGGTATCAGCAGGCAGAGAGCCGCCCTCAGCACAGACCAGCTCCCGCACCAGTCCTCCTGGCTCCCTGGGACCGAGGGGATGCTCTTGTGGGACTCTGCATTGAAATGGGTCAAGTTCTGGGCAAACCGGAAGAGACTGGTCATCCCAGAGAAATGTTCTTTACTTTCCCAGTAAAGAACATTTAAAACTTGGGGAGGATGTACTATAAATCAACTGGCCCATTAAAATAATGAACAAGCAGTTGAAGGTACTTTCATTATTTAAAAGGACAAACGATAATACAATAATTCGATGTTTGCGTGAAAACCAAGGCTCAAGTTGACAAGTAAAACTTTTAGCACCCATGAAACCCAACACCAGTGATTTAATTTCAGCAAAACATCATCTGTTGCATTAAAGTTGTTCATTTGTATTTTATTATTGTTATAGTTCTATTTCCATTTAACTTGTAACTTTGTTTAGGTTGCAAAAGACATGAATTTATAGCTAGAATTTTACATTTGTACGTACGTAAGTAACATAATAAAATTTGGGCAAGCACTGAGGCTTCAGAATTAATTTTCCTTTAAAAGAGATCTTATACATTACTAATGTTTAAAAAAAATCCTGACAATTCCATGAGGTAGTTACTATCACCCCCATCTTTCATAAACGAAGAACCCGAGACTACAGGTCATGCAGCGAGTCACTCGTGAAGCTGAAACCTGAACCCAGGTTAGCCTAAATTCAAAGCCTGTGCTGCCTCATCTGGAGCAGGGCAAGATGGTCCCCTGGAACCTCCTAGTTGGGTGGTGGGTGAGGGCCTCTGAAAGCCAGAAGGCAACCTGAGGCTTCCTAGTTTTCAAAAGGCAGGAGCAGGGCTGCAAAATAAAAAGGGTCAAGTGGGCTCAGAAAGTGAGGTGGGACAAAAAAATTTGGTCAAGGGCCCTCCTAGCAGCCCATAGACACCTTTAGATTCATTCATTCCTGCTTACAAAGCCCTGTGCTAGGTGCTAAGGATACACAGATAATTAAGATTGTGCCCTCCCCGTCTTGAAGGAGTTCACGGCCTGGCTCCTACTTGTAAGGATGTCTGCCTTCGGGAGGACTAGTTGGAAAGTCTGAACATCTCCAACATCCACTCCCACCCATGTTCAGCAAAAGCGATTCCATTTCAGCCCTCTCTGTGCAATGTCCGCCCAAATTCTGCCCTTCCCCTGGTAGAAAACAGAAAGTACAGGAAAAAGAAAAATGGAGAAGCAGCAAAGACATCTATTCGGTTACCCACTCAAGAAATGTCCGTGGCGTTCCCACTACAGTAACGAAGCCATGCTGGGTGTTGCGGGACACAAGTGATCCAGTTCTTGCCCTGGAAGAATTTTTACTAGTAACAACAGTAACTGCAGCGAACACTTAGCCAATGCTTACACAGGTCAGGCGCTGTTCTAAGTAAGTGCTTTACCTCTGGTGACTCATTTAACCCTCTCAACAGCTCTGTGCAGGAGGCATGATTATTACCCTCACTTAACTGAGCCATAGAAAAGTGAAGTAACTCATCCAAGATCACACACTAGTGAGGGTAAGGTCGGGACTGGCACCCAAGCAGTCTTGCTCCAGAGGCCACCATGCTTTTACGGATTACACTATAGTAGGGGCTGAATGTTCGCTTTAAGAAGATTTGCTTGGAAGACTAGACCAACACTAGATTCCCTGTCCCAACTCTCAGCGGGATGCTTGAAGTCAGGCGTAAGTTCAAATCTCAGCCTGACAGCAATACTCAGCTTCAGTCTTCATGTCTCCAGAATGGTCATGATAAAAACTGGGCTGCCCTAGCTGGTGTGGCTCAGTTGGTTGGAGCGTTGTTTCATAACTGAAAGGTCGCAGGTTTGATTCCCAGCCAGGGCGCATGCCTGGGTCGCAGGCTCGGTTCCCAGTCTGCGGGTGTATGATCCCCAGTCCAGGCGCATATGGGAGACAACTGATGTTTCTCTCACATCAATCTTTCTCGTCTTTCCTGTCTAAAAGTAATGAAAAATGTTCTCGGGCGAGGATAAAAAATAATAAAATAAAAACTGGACTATATTTTCAGATTAAATGAAATAGCATATATACAGTTGGACCTTAGTAAATAGGAATTCATCTCCTATTGTCAAACCTAGCTCTCTCTTCCTGCTTCATTCAGGTCAGTGTGTTCCCAGCTACTCCCCGCTCATCCCCCGCAGGAAGGAAGATGAAAAGAGGAAAGGCGGACATGAAGAGAAGGAACGGTAGCTTCACCTACTGTGCTGGCACTTCACTCTCTGAGACTTTGGACACATCCTTGGAGATTCCTGAAGGTCTGCTCTTCCTGCACTTGCAGGGAAGCAATTTCTATCTTAGAATACAGACCAGAAAGGTGAATGGGAGGTTGCTGAACTAAGAAAATATACACAGGACAAATGGTCAGCAGCCTGTACTATTTCCTCAGACAACCAAGAAATAGAAAAACCAGAAAACGCAGTGACATTTTTGTTCTAAATGCTCACATATCAAGATTCTACTTTACCTCGTGTTTTCAGAAACACTCCAGACATGTCGAATAAAATCTCCTGACTTTAAAATAGAAAAGTATTGACTGGGGTATGTGTGTGTGTGAGAGTGGGAGTGCAGGGATGGGAGTAATCCAGGGAGAAAAAAAGAGTATTAAGTTTAAAGCAGTTATTGTTACTGTCTGCCTTTCTCCCTCCCCCCATTCCCTGCAAGATGGGGTTCACAGCGAGACACTTCTCCTGGGAGAGGTGTATCCATTCCACCCCCAACCCCACGCTATTGAAAGTCATTGATTTAAAAGCTATTGTTTTAAAAAGGACTTTCAGTTTAAAAGACTGCTATGATCATATGTTAACATCTACATGTAAAAATTATGTGCTAACGAGAAGAGTTCTTTAATGTAATCACTTATTCATAGACAATGCAAATGCAAGGAGAAACTACTGAAATACCACTGTATACATTCTTTTAAAGTAAGAAGAAAAACCTTCCAGTGACACCTTGCGACGGTAAGACTGAGCAGAGGGCTCTGGGAATGCTACTGGCAGCACTGTGAACTGGTGCATCTTTCAGGAGGCTGGCTACATGGCGATGTAACGTGAGTCCAGAGATGCTTCTACTCTAACCAATAATCCTACTAACAAAAATTATCCAAAGGAAATTATTCAACAGAAATAAAATGGATGCAGCAAAGACTATCATAGAGTCACTCCCTAAAAGCAGAACGAGAAACCAGCTGAACACCCTGTGACGGGCACCCGCCACACCACGCCCTTCCCGTTTTAGCGCTCGGCGCGTTCTGAGTGTCTGCGGGCAACTGTCTCCCCGCCACAGTGTCAATGCCATGGGCACAGGGGCCGTCTCTGTCTAGATCCCTGGCACACAATAAATGCAAGACGTAGGAATTAAGAACAGATATCAAAATATTTTTATATAATGTTACCTAAAAACAACACTACATATATGATAAAACTGAAACTCTGTATATATACTCATGGAAATGATTACACGAAAATGAAAGTAGTTATATTAGGACAGAGGAATTTAAACACTCTTTTAAGCTGTTGTTTTAGTGCCTCTGAAATGTAAGGAGGAGGAACATGTTTGCTGTTACGTACAGCGACCAGGACTTCATAGTAGAAATAAAACAGCAATTATTAAAGCTTGAGGAGTCGCCCCAGCCCCACAGGCACGCGGGTACTCATTTTTTGCTCAAGGGTGGAAAGACTCAAAATACTCATATATCACAGGTAGCATAATCCTATTTTTAGTAAAAATCTGAAACAAAGGCAGTATGTTTTAAAGAGACAGGTAGAAAAGTCCTCTAAAGCAATCTCGTTTGGATAGTGAATTTGCTGGTTACTAACAGCAGGGGGTGCCAAAGGGACCGCTATTGTTCCCAGGAGATGGCAGGAGCCGGGCTGCCGCCACCTTGGCTGGAAAAGCTGAAGCCGCGCTGAGAAAACACTGCCGGTTTCCCCTAACAATGGGGACTGGTGGCAAACTCTGGCGTTCTGTAGATTCAGGTGGATAAAAATCACGTTTTTATTTTCAGTAACTTCTGATATTTAGAATTTCCTTGAATCAACAAATCACAGTAGTGTTAGCAGTGCTGGTGACTTGTCATGAAGAGAAATCACAGATACAGTGATAGCACATTCCTGCCGGTGCAGAAGTCTCCAGCATCACTCACGCCAGCCACTCCTCTGACACCGCATTTCAGGAGTTACTGTCAGACCTGCCACTGGGTCTTCTTGCTCAATGTATTAATAAAGCCGTACGTATTACTCTATCACAATTTGTTCAATAATTTGGTAACTTTAAATATGACAAATTCTTTTGTAGTCTGGTGAATTTTATTTTCTGCATTTATGAACACTCTTCTGAGAAGGCTTTTATATGCTTTACCAGACTGCCAAAGGCACAGGCAAGGTTAAAAACCTCTGCTCGGTCTAAAGGAAGGCAACCGAGAGGAAAAATCAAATTGGATCTGAACAAAGCTGGAGAGAAACAGAAGTATGTTAAGCCACAAGAGAGAAGTGGCTGTGATGCCCATTTTCATTTCGTTTGGATTCCGTGAAGAGAATTCTTGCTTCGCAGACTCCAAAGCGCCCCACCACGTCCAGAGGCCCGGCTCCTGGAGAGGACCTTCAGAGACCTGCCTGGTTTGCTGCCACGGCGCGGTCTGTATTTAACGCAGGGGCAGAAGCGTGAAACACAATGCGAGCGCTGTCCCCACATCTCTCTGGAGGTAATCATTACACTGGGACTCTCCAGACACCAAATATTCATTTGATGAACAAAACCAAAATCAAATCCAAAATTACACAGAAGGCAGAGGTGAGACACTGAGGTAAGCAACAGTCACAGCAATACTCACATTCGAACGAAGAGTGACTCTTTGGATGTCAGACCAGGAGATGAATACTTTTCGACCAGGGCCAGAGTACTGAAGCCGAACTTATGAATGGGCTCATTGGAATCCAGCGGGGGGAAGTCCGTGTCAACCTCCCCGTCATCCTCAGCAATGTGCAGGCAGTAGGCATTGACGTTGTCACTGAAAGGGAAACCACAAAGGGGAGTGAGCACCACGGCGAGGAAGCAGCACAGCGACCAGAGGCCCTGATGTACGCACGGCACGCGAACTTGAGGTACGGCCGTTCTTCACCCCGAAGCCTACAGGTACGATTAGATCCCCCAACTCCCTCCTCATCTGATGAGAAGACACACAGCAGTGCGAAGGGGGAAATCCAACGTGAAACAAGAGCCTCTATACTCTATCCTTCCAACAAATACTTACTGAGCACCTACTGTAGGTAAGACACAGAATCCCTCAGATTGAAGATGAGATTTAGTATCAAGCCTCAAGGAAGCTTACGACATAGGAGGGGGTAAAGGTCAGCACTATATTAGCTATAATATAAATGTAAATAAAATAAATATCATAAAAGAGATACACAAAACTATAAAGGAGAGAAAATTATTTGGGGGGCAATCAATGGACTTTGATTTACGTTAGGACCAAGAAAATACCCGCTCTAGCTCCAGAGAAGTACATGCGGTAACCAAAACAGTCCATACAGTTCTCCTTTCTCTGAGGAAAATCAGCCTCACTTGGCAGCATCTGATTCCAAACACCAAGTACACTTAACAGAGTAAAGCAAATGATCTGATTTATCCTGATCAACTGCTGATGGACTTTTCTCACTCGCCTGGAACATCTGGTCAGTAATCTCAGATTCTAGACTCGCCCAGTTTAGAATCAACACACACTTCCTTCTCCTTCTTTGGGGAAGTAAAAAGTCAATTTGCGGAAAAAGGATGGGAAACTGTATCAACATAAAGACAATTCAAAGCTGAGATCAGCCCTGGCTGGTGTGGCTCAGTGTACTGAGTGTTGGCTTGTGATCCAAAAGGTCATTGGTTCGATTCCCAGTCAGGGCACATATCTAGGTTGAGGGCTGAGTCCCCAGTTGGGGGCATGTGAGAGGTGGGCGTGCAAGTGGCAACCAAACGGTGTTTCTCTCCCTCCCTTCCCCTCACTCTCTAAAAACAAATAAATATTTTTTAAAATAAAGCTGAAATCAACTTAAAACATTTTAGATACCCTGCTCCAAAGCTGAATTGTGAAAGTGCAAATCTGCCAGTATTAAGAAGCATGAATCTACTAGTTCACAAGGCAATGGGATTCTAAATTCTGCAGCTTAAATTGGAGTTTTAATTATATGATTGATGCTTAAATTAATTAATTGCAAAGTATATGCTAATTGTTTAATTGGTTGCTTGATCTATATAGATCATTTTTTGAATTAAATGAGTTGATTTACAAAGTTTATTGATTGGATGTGACAATGAATTATTTCACTGACTACCTGATTTGCAATTTTCCCAATTAATTCACAAATCTTTTGCTGCAATTCTACTTATTGAGAGAGAGAGCCTATTTCAGGTGATCTATACTCAGTCTGTCACGATTAAGAGATATTTATTATATAAAACAGGTAATAAGGACAGATTAAAATTAATGGGAGCTGTAAATCTGCTAAATGGATGGATAACAAGAAAGTAATCTGGCTATGTTTGTCACTATAAATTTCATGTATTTGCAATGCTATTAAGAAATTTAAGATTCATCTCTGAATGGAATGAGAAACTTAAAGGTCTGCAAGGGGGCGCTAACTTAGACACAAAACACTGCAGAAGCAGAAGGAAGGCACTCGGACGAGGAAGAGGTCACGGAGTGCTAGCAAAGAGCTTTGTGTCCAGGACGACCTGAGTTCAACGTTAAGTTCCAGCACTCATGGGCTATGTGGTTTCGGAGAAAATAAGCTTCACCTCCTCGACTTTCAGTTTCTACTTCTATAAAAAGGGTGTAATCACCTGGCTGGCGTAGCTCAGTGGATTGAGCGCGGGATGCGAACCAAAGTGTCCCAGGTTCGATTCCCAGCCAGGGCACATGCCTGGGTTGCAGGCCATGACCCCCAGCAACCGCACGTTGATGTTTCTCTCTCTCTCTGTCTATCTCCCTCCCTTCCCCTCTAAAAAATAAACAAATAAAATCTTTTTTTTTTTTTTTAAAAGGGTGTAATCACGTAGCTCAGGCATGGCTGTCAGGATTAGATGAGATGATACATAGTGTGGAGCAGAGGACAGAGGCAAAATGAATAAATAAATAAATAAGTAAATGGCACGGCAACTATAATGAAGTCAGAAGGAAAATAACTGGGGTAGTTATGTCAGTCCATGAAGACACACTGTGGATGCACACTAGAGGAGGCAGCGACAATGAAACTCAGTGACATGTTCTACGTGCACACATCTGTGACTGTAGGTCACATGTCCACTGAGCTCCAGCCTTGGGGCCACTGAGCCCCCGGGGTTCTGTGAACAGGGCAGACGCTGGTGAAGCAAGCTATTCACTGCCGTGTAAATCATCCCGAGGAATGCCTGTCACTCCCCAGCATCGCAGAGGGTTCGAGGGCAAATAATAAGCCTATTGATCAAAGCAGAAAGCCAAAAATGGCTATCGGAAGAATTCTGGACTGACTGCCGTGGGACGCCCCCAAGTCCCCTCAAAACAAACTCAACAAACACCACAGGCTCAGACCTGTACCAACAGACTCACTGGCAAGCACTCTTACTCTCCCCAGTTCTTGAATACACAGTGTGAAATCATTCATTCTTTCAAGAAACATTTGCAAAGTGCCTGCCCTTGGCTGTTGCCTGTCCTCAGCACTGGGGACACAGCAAGGAGAAGAATGAATGGTTCGCTCTGTATTAGACAAAACTAATGGAAGTCTTCTCTGGGTTATCATTAAGGTTTAGCAGCAAATAGTGCTCCAAACTCTAAAACCTCTTAATTAAACGCCTAAGAAGAAAATGACTAAAATTCCGTATTCTGGGCACGGACACATTGGTTCCTTTGTGTCTTTAAAAAGGAAAGAATAATAAAAGAGGCCACTGTGGTATTCTGACTTTAAAACTGCGTCAGGACTCAGATTAGTACCAGTATAGTTAGTAACCATTAGTATCATTAGCTGCATTTATTGAGCCCTATGTGCCAGACACTCTGCCAAGTGGTTTAGAGGCTTTAGCTCACGGAATCTTCCCATCAGCTTTGTCATTTATTATGTCCATTTTACAAATGAGAAAACTGAGGCTCAATAAGGTCAAGTGCTTTGCTCCAGATTAAACAGCATGTAAGTGACAGAGCTGAGAGTCAAACCCAGGTAGTCAAGAAACCTCATTCTGGACCCCCACCTACCTCTCTGCCAAAGCCACACAGTGTGTTTCTAGGGAAATGTTACATACGTAGAAAAGGAGGAGGAAACCACAACACATGGCTTATAAAAAATCAGAAGCTTAGAGAGATTTATTTCAACCTCCTTGTTTTTACAGATGGGAAATAGATGCCTAGAAAAGAGGAATGAAATGCCCACTGTCACCCAGTTAAATAGGGGCAAGGCCGGTTCTAGAGAACTCAGGTCTCCTTGCTTCTGTTTCATTGCTCTTTGATCAAGTGGGGAGAGAAACCGGCCACTGCGGTCCCTGACTCGGGAATTCCCCAAATAGAGACATCTAGAACTTACAAAACAGTGAAAACAAGGGGGCCTCCTTCTGACATAGTTCGGTGGAATGAAGACAGGTTTTGCAGTCAGATCTGGTTTTAATGCCAACTCAACCATTAACCAGCTGTGTGACCAAATCTCTCTGAGTCCATTTCTTATCTGTAAAAAGCTTTCCCCGATCTTCCTAGCATGATCATTTGCAGAAGTGATTCTCCTGTGTGGTCTTACAGAGCTTGGTTAATATCTCTGCATGTAACTATTACGTTGCTCCGTTTCTTATTTATGCAACTACGTTCTGGAGAGCAGGGTCCTTCCACTGTCTCTGCATCCTTACTGATGAGAAAATGGCTGGCATTTAGGAGGAACTTAACAAATATTTGTTGAATGAATGAATACGTGCATGTGCGGAATGAATCACTCTTATCTATACAAAAGCATAAATGGTATTATTAAAACTGTGTGTTTTAATGAGAAAATAAGTGATTTTTTCTCTTCTGTTAAAAAAATTAATTTTAGAGAAAGAGGAAGAAGTGGGTAAGGGGTGGGGGAGGGAGAGAGCCAGACAGGACAGACAGACAGGCTTCAGTTTGTGTCCCACTCACTTACACATCCACTGTTGCTCCTGGTGTGCGACCTGACCAGAGATCGGACCTGCAATCTTAACAGGTCGGAATGACGCTCCACACAAGTGGGCTACCCCGCCAGCTTTTCTTGCCTGCTTCACTGCTACCTGTTAACCAAACAGGGCTTCCTAGGCAACACACATGCGGCAGAGATTGAAATTCAAGACCAGGGGAGAAGAGGGCTCGGTAAAAGGTAAGGTGGAGTACTGGCGTCTCACTTCCTTAACGGAGGAAAAGCCACTGAGATCATTACAACTATGTGAAATTATTCAGTTATATACATATAAAAAGGCTAACAGGAAGGGTACCAAAAAGTTCACAAAGGTTCTATTTACATTTAGGCGATGAACATTTTTTCTTTCTAAATTTCTTTACTTTTCAGATACTGCACAATGAATAGTGTGACTTTCATTTCTCTTTATAAATACTTATTTTTGGATAAGGGCAATGCGTGCTTCTTGTAGAAAGTTTAGAAATACGGAACAGTACAAAGGGGGGTGGGAGACTTCTCACCCACTGCGTGGAAAGAACCGCCTGTCCTAAAGACTCCGAGCGCGGCCTGCCTCCCCCACATCCCGATTCCTAAGTGTGGTGCTTCTGCTCCCAAGTTCTGTAATTAGAGAAAATAACCACCCCCACTACATACAGGTCTTGCAAGAACGAAATGACTTAATTCACTGCACAGTGCCTGGTATGAAGAATTCTCATTTTGCCAAGATTTTCCCTTCTACTCTCAAGCTTCTGATACATAGAAGCAGAATTAACTATCTAACAGAAGCACGGCAGACAGCGTGAGACAGAGAAACCCAAAAGCCCTGACTGTAGGTCACGCCAGAGAGGCAGGAAGAATCAAGAGGCTAAGGAAC